TGTCTCAACGTACCTTTGATACGAGGAAAAGAATTGCCATCAGGAATAGTTTGCTAAACTAGAACGAAATCTTTTGAGGGAAACATCATTGTAGGTTATCGACCACAACGTGTCGAATGGTGAAGACTCCCTGACATAAAGTCTTTAGCTGACCCCTGAGAATCGATTCTAGGTGTCCACGTACTTTTGGTACGCACTGTAGTTTCTGATCTTCGATCAAGAGGAGCGATTCTCAACCAAGAATCGTGAGCATTGGGCTTAGATTATTACTCTGGGATTCAAATTTTCGAAAATGGTGGTGATCTGGGCGCTTAAACTGGCGGATCGGCATACATGAAGCTGTGGAGCCGAACAACAGGGGATTGTTTCCTCTCTTCTGATTGCCATGTTCTGATGTTTGACAATCACCATTGCATCAACATTTCCTCAGGAACGAAGGAATTTAGCGCCACGGGCAGCCTCTACTAGGCCGCTTTGGGCGCACCCCTACCCATTCGAAGCGCCTTCCCTAATCTCTCAAAGGCTTTGTGGAAGGCACATAGCCCTTCGAGATCCAATATATCGTACGTAGCATAATTTGAGTGATTCATGTAAAGGCGATTCTGATGAAATACGGATGCGGGTTGTCAGCGTAGATCACAGCATCGCCATTTTCCGAAGGGTCGCGCTTCATGACCCCCGTAAGGGAATTCGTGGTGACCTTGTGCTTTTTGGAAACTTTCTGGGAATTTGCGTTGCTCTATCTGTCAACAGTAAAAACGCATGCAATAATGGAGCACTGCATAAAGTTGGGAAAGATCGTACCGTGAGACCGCCGCAAGGTTGAGCCCTGAGACGAAACCCTTCAAAGCAACCCAGATGAGATCATATTTTGGCTACTAATGGAAGATGCGTGAACTCTTGTCGAAAACAAATGAAGTGCCACTTAAGGAAAAACTCAGCTTCGAAAGCCGCCAATGAGGGATTTGAATAGACTCCAAGCTCGAATCCCCCTTTCGTTGGATCGCCCACTTGTAGCAGAGTCAACCCTGCGTTGCGCAGTTCTCAACGGCCACGTTGCGCAGTTTCGCCCGATTAGACACGTTCTCTCGCGCGAACATTCACACTCGCATGCTCGAGCCGTCTGCGTCTCCGCCCATACAGCGTGCGTTGAGGATCTCTCAACGTGCCGTTGCGAACTGCGCAACGCAGGGTTGACTCTGCTGATCCCCTTTCGTTGATTCCAGCCCACCCTTGCTAGCCGTGAGGCCGCCGTGCCTCGTGATTGACGCTGCGCTCCTCGCGCGATTACGTATAAACTGTCGCCCTTTGGTAGTAACGCTGCCGTTAATTTTTTGATTGGTTTCGATCGCTTACATCGTTTGAGTATCGTATTTCTTCCGCTGTATTGTGCATATGTCTTTGTTTGTGTGGTGCACATGCGATTGCAGCTGTATTTCCTTGCAGGCACGAGCCAGCGATCAACCCCGGCGGCGGCGCTAGTTCGGACAGCCCGTGCGGCCACACTCTCTCCTTTTTTTTCAAGGGGAAAATCGTATAACTTCGTATAATGTATGCTAATAACCGGTTTTGCTTCAATATAACCGCTTCCTACCATCATTTGGGCGTTTCTCTTAAAATCTCTGCGCTCCTTCCATACAGGCATGAGATATTTCTCACGACACCGTGCTCACTTGAACGACTCCAGAGGAATATTTATAGCTGTGGAGCATAGTTTGTCCTTTTCCTAGATGACATTTCAGGATGGGTTCATGCACCTCATGCTGTCGCAGAGAAGGCACAAATAAGCGAATTTCACAAACCAAGGAAGATACCACGCAAGTTGAGGATGAAAAAGTTTCGGTTGAAAAAGTGTGTATTTAAAAATTCATCAGAAAGGAAACTCAGTTAATAGACGCTGAAACAGGCAGCAACAAAGTCTTAGTATCCATCGTCTTCCTTCCCTTGAAAATCTTGCTCGGTCATTTTGTCTGAGTAGTTTCGTTGCGTAGTGGGACGTTAATGGTGATTGGTACGTGCTGCCGCTTACCACGCACAGGGATTGACTCGGAGATTGAATCTTACTTACTTCGTCCAGACCAGCTAGGCCTTACATCTCTCTGGCGCAGTTACTTCCGACAGACTCCAATGTGAAAACAAAAACACAACTGTACATTTGGCTGTCTTTTGAAGATGTATGGGTCACACCAACGTCGAAGCTTTTTATCCTTCGCCAGTTTTCTCGCGGCTAATCACGTGCATCCAAGTTTGAATCCGACTAACTTTGAACATGACTACTTTGACTAACACATCAATCAGTTCATTTTGTATATTCTTTTACCGGAGCACCTCTTATTGAAATACTTGCGACATGTGAAAATATAAGCACCCCTCGAGTTACATTGCGCAAATTTCTACATGCAGCAGTTTTTACAGATTGTAGCGAGCGCATGATAATTGTATATGATATTGATGAAACAATAAGTAACATTGCCTTGCTCATTATAACATATAACATGCAACATCTCCTTGGGAGTGACAGTTAGTGGTCGGATTAAGATTTTTGGCATTTTTTGATGTCAGGATGAAGAAAACACAATAATGCGTTTCTAAAAAAACCCTGCGACACGTGTCAAGATTTTTGATTGCACCTTTATTTGTTGAAGTGAACATATTGAATCAGCAAGATTATCATCGTTATCACGTAGGAGAAGTACACTGTCCTCTAGCAGCTTCTCAATAAGCTCTTATACTTGGGATGGTAAGAAAGTCCTGAGCCGATTTTTCGAAAGCTCCAGAACTTCGCTTATTGATCGATACCTAGAATCTGCTACGTGATAGATTATCGCTGTCGATCATACTTCTCCGCAGTAGGTATATATTGCCGGGTTGCCTTCTTTAACTTTAATCATGATGTCGATTCCACAAGAGCACTTTCGAGCGATCATCTTCAATGAATGGCGCTGCGGCACAGGAGCAGTGGAAACCGTCAACATTATCAGCATCGCATTGGGAAGGGACACCACTTCCACCACCAGTGCCAAACTCTGGTTCGCAAGCTTCAGAGGAGGAGGGACACGGCTTCCAAAACAATTCGGCGGCGCTGTCGCAGAATGGATCCGGAGTTAGCACCCGCAAGCCTTGTGATAGCGACTACTAATTACTCAAATGCAATCCATCCACACCAGTACTTTGGTCCCCGTCGGACGCCTTCGCCACCAGAGAAGATTGCCGACTACGATGGATCCCTCATGTTCTTGAGCGATAGCACGCGGCTGAGTATCCATTCAGTTGCCTGCTTCTTCTGCGCACCTGAAAGGATCGTTGGCATGATTACGAGAGATGAGAGTTGGGTCCTCTACGATTCTAACAAGCACAGTGCCGTGTGGCTCCCTCGAGGAGAAGACCCGCCGACACAAGCAAAATCGGACCTTCACCCCAAAAGCTGTCTTCTTTGCTGCCTCTGGGATTCGCGAGGAATGTTGTATTATGAGCTGCTCAAAAGGGCATACCGCTACCGGCAGCATTTACGCCAGTCAGCTCCAGAAACTAGCGGACGCTGTTCAAGAAAAACGACCGAGACGAACTTCTGTCCACCTACTCCACGATGACGCCAGGCCCCACATAGCTAAAGAGACCCGTGCAAAATTGGAAGAGCTGATCTGGGACGCGGTTCCCCACCCATCCTATTCCCCTGACATTGCCTCTCTGATTATCACTTATGTCATTCCCTTAACCCTTTCGGCCCTGGCGGTGGCAATTGCCACCACCAAATTCAAACGCTTGCATTTCCGCTGAAACAGCATGGTTTTTCTAATCCTGCTAGAGGTTGCTTCAGTCAACCTTCCCCTTCCTAATTATGAGCTTAACCGGCCATTTCATTGTTTATTGCTGTTAGTATTGCAAGTATTTGTGTACAAGTGCAACAGTGAATGGGCGCTGACCCCCGCAACCGGCCAAGTAAGTGTGACTTTTTCTTAAAATACTTGAAGTAGATCCATTCCTAAATCAAAATTATGGGTTATAATGTTATGCAAGATTATAAACTTTTTCGGCATAACTATGAAATTTCGAATTGTTTCGACATAAGCTTAAAAACTAAGAAGGTGGCCAATTTTCAAAGCTTCTTAGTTTCTTTGTTTGTGATCGAATAGCTTCCAAATTTCGCCATAATGATACCTATATGCTCACAAGTAATAAACAATAGCTAGAAGAAAAATTTCTCCACGGGGAAAAATTCAGGTCCGAAAGGGTTAAGCATTCCTAGCGAAGAAAAATTCACCAAAGTTGAAGACGTTGAAAGAGCGGTCAGCGATTTCTTTGACTCTCAGTCTGCTCAGTTCTGGGAGAAGGGGGTCGCTGACCTGCCCATTAGGTGGGACTCTGTAGTGAGTAACAATGGTGATTATTGTTGAGTAGATTCCATTGTACGCGGAATAAAAAAGTAAAGCAAAAAAAAGTGTCAAACGGCTCAGGACTTTCTTACCATCCTAATACATAAATTCCGGCGTTTGCTTCGAAAATCTCATTTTCGAGTTGACCTCAGTCATCGGATTTTTTTCTCTCCTAGATGATGCTTCAGGGCACTGATTAACCGATAATTAACAGCCTCTGGGAACCTAGATGAGATATACTGACAATGAGCTTAGTCCCAGAAGGGGAGGGGAGAAAGGGAGAAGAAATCCTAGAGCCTCCTCTAGAGTACCCTTCCTGTCCCTAAGGATTAGTCCCAAGTGCGATAATTGACTCACTTATTTGATTGATCCCCCAACGGCATTAGGGCCGATCCCTCTACTATGCACGTTGTGTGCTTAAGCTCTCCTTCAGGAAAGTCCTCACAGGTGCAAAGGTGTGAAGCATGGAGGGAATGGATAGTATGTTAGCTAGGAAATTTGTTACAAAAATGCAAAAATTTAAATAATGATAGCCTTAAAAATAAATATAATAACACTAATTACAATGAGCTTTTACGTAAATACACATATTTTTGCTCTACTGCGGGAAGTTTGCGAAATGATGATATTAGGTAGTACTTATTAAAGTTTAGGTTGCTGAGGAGCAGGCCGCCGTATCGGACGAAAAACCTAGACAGAAACCGTCGGCAGAAAAGAATATCTCAGTCTCGAAAGAGTGGCCGACCAAATCAGAAGAAGGGAAGAAATTGAGTAAAGAATCTGATCGGAGGCCGCCATCAATAGAAAAAGCCCCCAGTAGTAATGAGCAGTTGTCGAAACAATCTGCCATGGAGAACAAAAATGCGGTTGATGGGGATCAAAAGATTGGAAAAGATGGAAAAATCAAATCTCGTGAAAAGGGGGATGCAAAGAAACAAGATGATAATTCAGAATCCGATGTTGTTGATTACTGGCTGACGGCCGCGGAAAGGAAGAAGGCGAAATCAAAAGAACTCCCTGTAGACAAGACCACTGATCTTGTGCTATCCGTCGTTCAACCACCTCAGGTCGATTATGCAGCCTTACCGCCACACATCCAAGCCAGCTTGCATAAGAAGGAAGTCTCTTCGAGTAAACCGCCGCAGGCCGCTCCTGTTTGGATAAGAAAAGAGTCTTCCGATACAATCAGGCAGCCGGAATCGTATGGTGTTGCAGATCGACCGATTCAAAGTGCACCCAGCGCAAGAAAACCGTACACTTCATGGACAGGAAAAGAAACTTCTGATAAAATCAGGGAGCCAGAAGCGTACGGCGTTGCAGATCGACCAACTCAAACCGGGCCAAGCGTAAGAAAACCATTTGCTCCGCAAGCTTACGGCGTAGCTGACCGTCCAGTACAACAAAATTCGGTGGTGAACAGACCCGAGCATGTGCCGGTATTGTTTTCGAGATTCTTTGCCGACATACATATTGTTGTTTTTTTGTGATTCCAGGAAGCATATGGGGTCGCCGATAGACCCGTTTTAGCGAAGCCGCAAGCACAACCACCGAGAGCACAAGGAGTCGTTGATCGTCCAAGTGTTGTAGGAAAGTATGCTGTTTCACGGCAGAAACCAATGGCTGGCTATTATCAAACGGTAAGAAAAATCTGTCATTTTTTGTGTATGTGGTTGACCAGATATGTCCATCGAGTATCGAGTTTTAGGCAGTTGCCCGAGGATTCATGAAAAAAGATCAACCGCCACAGGTAGTTTGTAACCAGGGTCTGTCCTATCGTTGTTACTTTTCGAAAATTTTTTACGACCCCCCTCCCCCAACGTGGATTTGATACGACCCCCTTTTCCCTACCTCCACCATCTCCATCTCCATCAAAACCCCGCCCACTTTTTCCTCCAAAAATGCCGTCGAGCGGGGGGGTATATACGCCCGCTGAAACGGCAAATTTTATCCTGCGCGCCCTCCACTCGCCCAGCCTACTACCCACGAAATCTTAGTTTCACCTCAATCCCACACGTGATTTCGAGCGACTAAAGTGGGTACGACCCCCCCCCTACAAACTCAACCAGGTACGACCCCCCCCGTTGTTACTCGTAACAACGTAGGGTTGACCCTGTTTCTAACATCTTTGCAAACGCTGCGATTTGAATGTTAACACTTCAGTCAGCCAGTGAGGCAGCGAACGTTCCCAGTGCACAGCTAAAGCCAGAAAACCTTCAGTAATCAAGAGCCGGCTTCACAAGGAATCCATTCGTACCAACCTTTATGGTGCAACAAAAGGGATTTACTGTGAAATCTAACGAAAGATCAGATTACAGATTTTGAACGGTATTTACCATAGTTTGCAATTCTTTCCAATAGTTAACGTTCAAGAGATAATACGAGCACCGTTTTATTATTCGAAGAGAAGCATATCGAAACTATTGCATAACATTATAATTCAAATGTCATTGACCTAATTGTTATCTTGATACTCGCCATTATTAATTGCACGATGTACGATAAAAAATTCCAATGCATTAATGAATCTGTTCGATTATCTCGTGTGTCTGCTCTGCATGAATCATTATTTCACAGCTCAAGCAGAGTAAGCAAACCAGCCCTTTTGGCGTTTCGGCTGGGACCGTATGCTGAATGTTGGGGAGGGGATGGGGTCCCCAACGGTCGACGGTTTACTTCAACTCGGTTGGTACGATAGGAGAGTACTGACGCAAGTGGTGCAGCTGGTCCAGCAGCTCCGCCAGAAGGGCTGGTTTGCTCACCCCAGGACTAAGCAAGGGGAGGTCTTTCAGGTGTACCCGCGCTTTCTTAAAACGGTTTTTTGCATGATGTAGAGGGATGTGCGTGGATTACAGAACTGTAGTCCATTTCCGCTAAATGGTTCTCTGAATGCCAAAAAAGGAGTGAGCAAATGGTCCTTGGTTCGATTCTCCGCGGCGACAAATTTTTTGCATTGTGATTTCAACAACAAAATTAGCACCAAATACGTCATACCAGGAATTAATGTCATATTTATAATAGGCTTGCAAAAAAAACCCTCTTAAGAAGAAGTAAGCGTATACCGAAAACTGGTGGAGAAAGTTGTGACGCAAGAACGGCACCAACGTGCCGTCGAACAGCGTCATAGGGGCCCAAAATGATGTCGGAGCTGAAAATGAATGTCATATTCGTAATCAGGACACCTGATTACCCTTGTATTCGAAGTTTCCAAGAAAATCAAGACTTTGACCCAACTTCGAAAAATTGCTCCATGAGTAATAGTAAACTCTGTAGCACGTCAGGCTCGACGGCGAACTTCTTGGAAATGACCTCCTCTAGATCCTCATCAAGGAATGAGAAATGTTCCTACCGAACAGAATAGTAGACACCCAAGCTGATGACGGTCGGGGAGAGGGGAATGCAGTAGTTTTCTGCTAGTTCTCCACACGGAGCTCGCCCCCAAGCGACTGGAAATACTACTTGAAGAGTTGCTTATGTCTGGTGGAAATTTTCGAAGTTAGGTCAAAGATGCGATTTTCCTCGAAACTTCGGCTATAGAGGTAAATCAGTGCGCTGGTTAAGAATATGGCATTGTTTTTTTGGAGCCGCCGCTATCTGGCGCCATTTCGACGTTACAACTTTGTTTGCCTGCTTTCGGTGAAAACTTACCTCATCGGGGTTATTAACGGTTCTGATCATGAATAATACATCTATTATGGCGTTTATGCAACTTGGAGCCTCGAGATCGAGATCTGGAAGTGCCAACAAGAAACGCAAAAATTTGCGCATCTCGAGGATCCGAACCAGCAACCCCGTCCCAACCGTGCCAATTGAAGTCCATATCGCTATCCACTACACCACCGACGCATCCAATGCTGAGTAGCCAAATGCACCCATGAAACTTCCACACGCTCTTCACTACATAGCATGTCATCACTACGACAACTTTCCAATTTTGGCCAAACTTCGCGTTGTTTTCGATACAGAGCTTGCGAGAACCCTTCGTTATGCAAGCAGTCCACGCCATAAATGAAACAAACCACGGTGAGTGCGCAAAAATTGCACTATCCGACGAAATTATTTTCACTCCTTTTTTGGCATTCAGAGAGCCATTTAGCGGAAATGGACTACAGTTCTGTAATCCACGCACATCCCTCTACATCATGCAAAAAACCGTTTTGAGAAAGCGCGGGTACACCTGAAAGACCTCCCTCGTTAGTTCTGAGGTAAGCACCAAATTGTGGCGGTTCTAAGGACCGAGTTGAAGTGGTCCGTCCACCGTCGGGGACTCCATCCCCTCCCCAACATTCAGCATACGGTCCCAGCCGAAGCGCCAAAAGGGCTGGTTTGCTTACGTCCCAACATCCTCAATGACTATTAATCATCGAAATGAACATCATTACCTGAGTGACATGACTATGTTGAAGTAGCATGAGCATCACTTTCAACCCTGGAATCTTCGCCAAAAGCACTCGTGCCCATTGCGACCATTGCAACCTAACCGCTGAATTGCCGTCCCACCCCCTATATCATACCCTAAATCCCAGAAAGTCTTCCCCGGTATGCCCAGCTTTTTCACCAAACGGCTTGTATATCATAGAGGCATCACTGCGGGAACCACCAACCAATATTTTTTAATGGTTTAATTTTTCCTGAAACGGCCCCTCTGAATACCAGAAAAGGGGGTCCCTAGTCACACCTTTTTTCACCAGTTTTTCAATCAAAGTCTATTTGTAAGGGTTACTGACGGTCCTAATCATGAATATGGTACTAATTATTCATGCTAACTCCATTTTGCGCGAATTTTGAAACGTCAACTCGAAATGCAAAAATTTGTCACCACGAGGAATCGAACTAGGGACCCCTTTTCTGGTATTCAGAGGGCCGTTCAGGAAAAATGAACCATGCTTCTGTGGTCCCCATATGTGCCCCAATGTCATGCAAGAAACCATTTTGAAAAAGCTTGGCACACCCTGAACGACCTCCCTTGTAAGTTCAACTTCGTAATGAACTATTTGTGCCTGCGCCATGAATTTTGCGACACTTGCGTTCTAACGCCTTTTATGAGCCCTTATCAGTTGCTATCACTTTCTGTTCCCACCGGATGTGTCTCGTTAAGTCTCCTGAAAACAACTGAAGGCTACTTGCTGCCCACGAATTTTGGCGTCAACACGCTCGTCCACCGCACCAAACAGACCACAGCCGATTATGTAAGGTAATAAAGCACGTAACCGCAAAAATCGGCGAGTCTGGAGCTTAAACCATGTAACCGTGAAGCAAACCAGGCATCCTTTCAGGGAGCCGTCCTAACGATCTCTCGCTCGCGCAGCCCACTCACCGCTGATTTGCTTGGTTCATAACTCCGTTCAGAAAGTTGATTTGGCGGACTTGGAAAGCAGGATTGAGATCAGCGTTCGAAAGCACAAGCAGCAGTAAAGGTCTCCTTGCATATCATTCCCGGTAACCAAAGTTTCGACGGAAATGAGTTCACTCGGTGGAAGGCAATAAGTGATGACAGCTGATAGAGGCTGATAAGGAGCGCTAGAACGCAAGTGTCGCAAAATTTATAACACGTGACCTAGCAGCAATAAGGTGCTGTCTTATAGATAGAACCAAAATGGTCTCCCCGCAACCGCCGAAACCTACCTTCTCTGCGGATGAATTCCGGCAGCGATCACGCTTGGGGAGAATTGCAACCCACACTCTGTAGAAGCGCTAAGGGTCGAGCCGGGGCTTTTGGTCTAATAAGTTTTCGTCTTCTACTGCTTCGAAATCCATGTCGTCATAGTTGTTTTCTAATTTCACTTCCTCATCATCCGAGCTGCGAGAATTTTGGATGTTCGATCCCCAACTCTTTCATTCTTGGGTATTGGACGCCTTAAAAATCAAAAATCTTCAAGTATTACGGCGTAATCGATGCGAGAATTGGTAACGTGAGCAAAGTGAGACTGAGAAGGCTGAGAGAAGTATCGTACTGCTTGGCGGTTGCAGCGGCTCCATGCATATGAATGTAACTCTGGGCCATCTCAAAGAAGATGTGTATAGATAACCCGCGCGTCTAATCTAGCAGCATTTTGAGTGAGTAGTGCGCTTTCGGATGAAACACAGGAAACAGAAGTTGTCGCAGTGAGCAATGTCTCACAGATAAAAAAAGACATCTCACTAAAGATACCCATTTTCTTGGGTGTCATCAGAATCACGAAATCACCTCGAAATGATACTTCAGCACTGATTTCGATTTGAGCCACATAAGCGATTAGTTTCGCTCCCTCTCCTTCCTCTTCTCTGTGACCGTGTGCAGTGACCGTGAGTTTACTCGACCGATGTTCATATGGCGTTATGGGTGTTACCACAATCATCATCACGTTAGAATAACACCTCAACACTGGACCAATCCTTCCTACGGTTGCTCTCTCTCTTCTTCCAACTTTCCCCTCCTCCTTCTACCCTCCCCTTCCATTGCAAAGTTGCGACGGCAGAACCATGCATGAGGCTGTGCGCTTGATTGTCTGTATAGCGGTGTGAGCTTTATCGTAATCATGACATCAACATAACAAAGAGTAGCCCTTCGAGCTCCCCTGATCTGATAGCGGTTGGTGTGGGCGAACAGAACGACATACACGCAGGCAGAGCAACATACCAAAGTTGTTGTTTATATAACAGATTGGTCCCCCGTCAACCGCCGGGACCTTCCTTTCCTGCGCAAGCTTTCTATCTTCCGCTGTGGTCCCTTCCCACCTGTGACACCAACACCTCGTGGAAGTGACGCGTATGCAACACAATGGTTTTCATACAGTAGAAGGGACACAATCATGATATGACGGTAGATTTTCCGCTTCCCTTCCTCATCCTCCCTTCCTCTCTCCACTGCCCTCCAGCTGCCACTGCAGCACCATGTGGAATGAACGGAAGTGTGCTAAGCAGGTGTTTATATAGCCCTAAGAGTGTTATCACAACTATCCTGCTACAAAACATTGATATCTCAAATCCTGTAAGCTACCCGATTTGTAATAGCGGTTTGTTTCGGCTCATG